CACCCCCGCACACAGCCGAACAGACTCCCGGAGACGAGCAGGAAGGACAGAGCGAGGGTTCCGCGGCAGCACCCGCCACCGCGGTCCCGGGAAAGGAGGGAGGAAGGTTCCGCGCTGCCTGACGGCACCTCACCCGCTGGGCGAGAGGTACCTTCCCCCGAGCAACCTTTCTGTATATATTGTTGAATTTTAGTTGTACATATACTTTGTATGTTTTTGTCTTCTTTCATATATAGAGTAAAAGCCACAAAACGCCTGCCTGGCTCCCATTTCTCTCCGCCTGAGCGGATCCCCACCTCCCCCGACCTGCCCCCCGAGCTCAGCCCGGGCAGCGGGACGTTGTCCCCCCGCATGCCCCCCGAGCTCAGCCTGGGCAGCGGGACGCTGTCCCCCCGCCTGCCTGCGCCCAGGCACCGCGACCTGCACACCCAGCTGCCAGCAAAGACAGAAAAGATGGGGAGAGGAGGGGGACCAGGTGGTTTGGTTGGTTTAAGGCTACGGCTGAGACAGGAGTTACCGACACCGCAAAGATAAGCCTCTAGAAGAAGTCTCTATCACCCGGCCATTTCTGCTGCGATTTCACTGCTCTGCGGCTCAGCTGAGCTGAGCTTTCTCGCCGAGGCAAAGCGCAGAGCCTTGCCTTTCTTCCCAAAGGCTGGAGACTCCAAATTATTAAGAAAGGAGGCGCCCTCCTTTGTCTTTCAAGAGCAGACAATGCAAGCTGAGGAATGTTTTGCAAAGCCCTGAGAGGTGCCCAGGCACACAACACGCTGTCCAGCCAGCTCCAGCCTCACCAGCTTGTGGAAAGCACAGCAACTACTGACAATGAAAAGCCCTTTCCTCATCCAAGCTGGGTGCCCCATACTGCGAGAATTAATGGCTAGAGACCTGGGCATCCTTCAAATTATGAACCTTGAAACCACTGAGCCATTTATCAGAAGTCAATAGAGATCCTCAGAGTGCTCCATATAATGACAGCTACATACAGTCGTGCAAAAGGACAGTCACTATAATTAGACACAAAGCAAAGACTACTTACCAATATACCAGTTTTTTGGGGGGTGTTTTTTTGTTTTGTTTTTTTTGAGCAACTTCCACGCTCAGTCAGTCTTCAGAGTGGTTTAAAACCGATCAGTCTTGTCATTTTCTACCATTCGTATTGTTACATTAGGAAAAATGTTTTCTTTTCTTTTTTTCCCCTTCCCACTGTGAAACTTTGGGTTCAGAGCTCCCCAGGATCAATTCTGAACAAAGCCTCCAGCTGCAGTGCCATCCAATTTGAAGCAGACATTGGGGACAATTTAAGGTTTTTATCCACAAGAAGGTTTTTTTCCATTCTCTTAAATGCAGACATAATTAGAGTAATTTTTCATGTAGCCCGCTGATTACAGCGTTTTTACCGTCAAAGATAATTACCTGTAATTTTCTTCCACTTTTAATACTAAAAAGCCATCTTTATTTAGATTCAGGAACAGGAAAGGCGAAACAAAAGAGGAAAATTATTCTGTTATTCATACACAAATTGCAGAGACGTAGGGCCTAAAATTGAAAATTAACCAAAATTATAATGCTGAAAAGAATGGAAGAGGCTTCAGAAGTACAGCTGGTAGTGGGGCTCACTGAATTATTCAAATGACACTGGAGGGAAAGCTACCATACATTTAAACCAACAGCATTTGTCTGTGTGTGTTGTGTGTGTGCATCTGTCAGAAAACCCGGGTTTACACCCCCCGGCTGGCCCCTGTGCGGGGTCCCCCCCACTCCAGAAGGGCCGTGGGTAGCCAGGTGAGCGAGCCCCGCAGCCCGGGGAGCCCGGCCCCTCCGAGCTCAGCCCCGCCGAGCCCAGCCT